ATTCTAACTCTCACAAAAACAATATCCTGTGTAAGTGTACCGTTTTCAAAATACCATTACAACAATATTAGAGACTGAGAAAGATTAGAGTTGAGAAATGTGATATTTTCATTGCAGTGGACATAAAACTTGGACTTCCTTTTTACGTTAGTTCAACATTGCTAAGGCACAATAATAACAGATGGTGAATGTCGCTTCTTGTCGTTTGTTATTCTCTTGAAAACGTTTCGTTATCAACTATGAAGTTCTCATTTAACTCATCAATCAAGACTGTTCGTTTCTCAAAGAGCCAGCATTTAATCTTCGTTTCCAACAGCGGTCTTGTAGACTTCAAGAATATGTTTGGTTTAAGTTGTTTTGTACGTATATGATCATATATAGATGTATGAAAAAGTACTTTCGTGACCCTGAATATGTTTTGTTACTTTTGTTTATCTTGTGCAAGATTTTGCAAACACGGACCTACTTTTAAGTCGCAACTACAAAGGGTGTAGAAACGTCCCCGTGTGTCAGGTAAGGAGAATTTACGTTTGAAGGTTTTACATTTGTAATGCAATAATTTAATTTTCCGGTAGACAACTACAAAAAAGTATATAATAAATAGGATATTCCACGTGCCGAATGAAATATCATGTTTCCCTCGTCGGAAAAAGGAGATATTTTCACGGGTGGCATACATTTAACTCGATGACAGGAACAATATTTCACTCGACACGTGAAATGTCCTGTATTTATTACATTCACCATGGTAACGCTGGCCATATGTTGCCGTTTTTTCTACTTGTGTTATTGATTCGGTCATAGTCTCCCCCGTGAGTACTGTAGAAACCTAGTTTTTGTAATTGCTTGCTGCACGTATTGTGCATGCGCGAGGTCGAGATGTAATGTCAGTGTGATTCACGACAATGTCCTGGCCTTGCACCAAGAGAGACGGTTTGGGTACATAGACGAGGCTATCAGTTCATCTCAGCATGGACCTTCCTTTAATTTCCCACGCGGTCACCATGCCACTATATGTGCATATACTGGTACAAATAGACTAAAACGTCTTGTAGACCTGTAAAAATGTTAATGAGTGTGTTAGTTCGAATGACTTTACGCCGCTGTCAGCAATATATTCCAGCAAAATCACGTCGGGGAACACCACACATTGTCCAAGGTGGGTAACGGAACCCAGATCTTAGGCGTGAGACCAAACACTTTAACCAGTGGGCTCCCCTGCCGCCCTAGAAATATATACGGAATATGGCAATATTAACGATTTTGTGTGCTGTTGAGTGCAAAGTTAGGGAGCTTTTGATATTCCAGTGGTGGGATTGTTTTGAAAAAAATTGTTTGTTTCATATAATGCCGACAAAAAAACGTTTGGCCTCAAGTAGGCGTGAAAGGCAAAATATCGGGGTCAGTTATGAACGGATTGCTGAAAATCAGTGATGACACCGGTTGTTCGCGAACGGAAAAGAAAAGAAGAAACGTTTTAACGTCTCAACTAAACTAGTTTGTCATTTACCAGCTTGAAAAACTCACCAGCTCGGGTAGAGTGTCAGCATCTCATAGATCATAACGTGTCGAATTTGGAATTCGTACTCACAATAATCGGATCCTTCCATGACAGAGGCAGATAACTGTGCACAGCAACTGTCCAATTTATGCCTTATATACCACGGGATCCTTCTGGATATGGAACCTGTGTGGGTCGAGTTGAGATGGCCGACCCTTGAGATTAGGGAATTGAGAAAAGAAACATCAGGCTAAGCAGTCTGGGTGTAGCACTCTTCCATCCAAATTTAAAGCATTAATTTTGATGTTTTGTCAACTGTACCAGTCCTGTATGCCAGAGGCAGTTTTGACCGGCGTCCACGTAGCCATTGTTATATGTGTCTAGATGTGTCCCTTCGATGCCAGAATTCGCTGGTTTTAATTCCCAACGGGCTCTCACAAAGATGATCGATTCCCCAAAAATATACGACGTTTTGCCCCACTGCCCCTGCAGTAGTAAAGTAAATTCCTCAAAAGGACACTATTATAATCTGTATAAAGATATCCTCTCTGTAGAAGACTACGTATTGTATTTACCTCATAATTTACGCATCTGGCTTACTAAAATCAGAACCACCAACCACCGACTTACAATTGAAACTGGCCGATGGTATAACCTCATTAGGGAAGATAGGCTTTGCTCTCTCTGTAAAAATAAAATTGGTGATGACTTCCATTTTTTACTAGCATGCCATGAATTGGATCATTTAAGAAATAAATATCTTCCATTATATTATTGTAAATATCCAAATACTGACAATTTTTTTCGCTTATGACTTGTTCTTATAAACCTCTCCTCTTACGACTAGCCCAGTATGTAAAATATGGACTGCGTATGCTCCACTAACTATTGTCTCATTTCCTTGTATATATGTCTCTCTTGTCAACTTCTTTATGTCACCACGGTGATTCATGAGAAATAAACATCTTCTTCTTTTCCCTAACACAAATAGACGCCCCCCCCCCCCCCCCCCCCCCACACACACACACACACATACACATGCACGCGCACACACGCTCGCTCGCACGCACGCAAACACCCATTGAGCTGACACGCCGTGATATAACTGAAATATTGTTGAAACCGGCAAAACTCTAAACAACATGGCCTAACATTGATCCCTTGTCGTAGAGCGCCACTTGAACACACATACATCTGAGAGGTTCACCCCATCCTCATGCTCTGAATGAATTTAGAGGCGACTGTACATGTGTTGCTGTATTTAGAACGGAGAAAATACATAACATAAATGAAAAAGTAGGATACTGACATTCCATCCATCAGCAAGCAGATTCTCTTTGTTAAATGTCCAGTTTTTCCTCCAACTGGTTCAGCTCATGGCGGACCTTGCAGCTCTCGACGAAGATAAATGCCAGATGCAGTTCAGAGAAACAACATACGCCCACTCAGTCACATACCAAGCTTCTTCAAGCCCCCCCAAATCCATACTGGTTGTCTAATTCGCCTCTGAAATACCTGACATGTTCCACGAAAGAAACATTTAAACATTTGTTTTTGGCTCAAACGGATCCAGCCACATGAAGCACAATAAATCGCAACTAGATGGATCCATTGGAGAACTTAGAACACTCCATCATAGAGCTCCGTTGGGATATAGATTGGCCAGATCCATGCGTACTGCATGCATGTTGTATAACGGACTTAAGTTTGGATCCGTTGGTGACTTTGGCTGTTTTGTATGGGTTGTTGTTTGACAAGGACGGATCTCTGTTGTAAGCTGGCAGACCTTGTGTGATATCTAACCCTGGAGGCCAATGTGATGATCGATGTTTATGCCACGAGTAAAGTGTATGTAGTGGATTATTTCAGGCCCAATTAACGCACCGATATTTTTTTAATTTTCGATTTTCCCAGATCCCAACTGACCATATGTCTTCTGCTGCCGGAAGATTGAAGAGCGTTTGTTCTTTTCGCTGTTGATTATTTTCGTGCTTCTCATCTCCCGACAGAGCATATTGATCATTGCCCCCCAAAAAACAATTCCGACTGAAACTTGAATTTCTCATCTTGTAAAATTAGGGGTTAAACATACTGTGTTTTCAATGCAGAGTTAGGTTGTCTGTAGATTTAGTCGCACTAAATTGAATTTGGCATGTTACGGCATGTCAGCGTCATGTTGCAGTAACACTAACAGTAGCGCGGGTCGTAGAAGTTTTCCACTTTGTGGAAACCCCTTGAAGAACCGGATTGGCTTTCAGCAACCCCCGCTGGTAGTTAGAGTCAACTAACGGGACCCGGTGGTCATCAGGCTCTCACGATATCATCCACTGGATTTGTCTGATCCAGAATCCATTACTTACAGACCACTGTCATATAGCTGGAATATTGCTGAGTTCGGCATTAAACAACAAACAAACACAGTTCGTTGAAATCTACGAGCTCGTGTATGCTGTGGTACAACTATTATCACAGTCGGGATTCGAACAAACGGGATCTGGCAGCAAGATTGTACTCACTGAGCTCCGGCGGCCTTAACCAGTGGGCCACCGTAAACTCTACTGACTAGAGTAACCTGCCATGTTTTTTAAAATAAAATAACCCACCTGACCAGAAAAACAATTTGTAAAACGGAAGCTGTGAATCCGACTATTAATGTGCATTGATGGCTTTAACATTGATTTCAATATAGTTTACAGTTTGTATAATACTTATTCTAAATTTAAATGATGATGTCAATAGCACAACGCAGTTGCAGTTGTCGCAGTCGTTTTGTCGTCCTCGCTTACAGCGATTTAAATTTAAACATGCTGCTTGACATGGTATACACACAATTGTACCGTTGAGGATAGATAAGCGTTAAGAATGGGATCTCCTTCACTTTAGTGTTCGCCGCTGGTATTTAACTATGCGCTTACCGTTACCAATAATACATCAGATCAATTCCTCGCGTGTTCGGCAATGGAAGATAGAGAGCTGTTTACAGAAGCAGGTTAATAGCATGCTGTGCGCTGCTTCCTGCAATGGGAGGGGGAAAAGGGGTTGGGGGTGGGTGAAACTCAACTGCAATATTGTCAAGTCACAAGGAATTGATGTGAGCTGCAAAAATCAAACTGCTTACATTAGGCAAGGTGCTTAAAAACTATAACAAAGTCGTTTATCTTTATGGTTGGGAGGGAGATATTTATACATAACAAACCTTCGTACTGAAGTTTCATTATGTTTGTTTATTTGAGATTGCTTTCATTTGGTAGTGCTCAACCTTTCATAAAGTGTATGTAATTAAATCTCCTTTCCGTGAAAAGGACTGAGAACGCACGAAATTGACCTTCCGAACAGGTTGGATTCTTATGAAATAAAGACGGCGTTTGATAGTTATTGCATTGTGAATGTCGTAAAACGGCCAAAAACCGATATCTCGGCATGTTTGATAGTTATTGCATTGTGAACGTCGTAAAACGCAAAAACCGATATCTCGGCATGTATAACACGAACAATTACGCTTGAGATCAATTGTTTTATTTTCACCCACGGCCCATATTCATTGTACAAAATCATTTGGAAACTCCCAGGAGCAATGGAAATTGTGTTTCCTTTCGGTACATTGCCCAGTTAGCGTGATTTCATCAAACCAGTTTCCAAAATAACCTTCCTGCCATTAGGGCAAATAATATATCGACAGTGAAGGTCAGTTGAGTGTCGACATTGTTGTTCGCTGTTGTTTCAGGTCATTATCGGTTGCATCGGCGTCTGTGTCCCGCCGTTGGTATTGGTCATCGTCGTAGGCATCATCGTCGTAGGCATCATTGTCGTAGGCATCATCGTTGACGGCATCATCGTCATAGGCATCATTGTCGTAGGCATCGTCGTAGCTCGACAACGTGGGTTGCTGTATGTATGCATGCCGTTCGCGTGATGTTCCTTCTCGCCATGACACTCCAGGCCGCTCATGCAAGGACAGTGCCATTCGTGAAGGTTGGGGTTGAAGGGGTCGTGAACCATGGGGGGTTCGCAGAACTCCTTCTCCTGGCCCCGGGGGTAGCACATGCCGGTGGTGTGGACGGTGTCGAAGTCGAAGAGGAAGCGTTTGTGGAATAAGGGGTGAAGGCAGCATTCGTCACTGCCACACTCACTGTCTGACTTGCACATTTGGTCAGCCTGAAAAGAGCACAGTCAAAAACATTGAAACGTAAACAATAAACGAAACCAGTTAGGTTCTACAGGTTAAGCTCCAACTCAGGCGAAACAGACACAAGAGAAATTACAGACAGGACCAGGAAGCCTTTTCGCGAACAGCTGGTGGGATCACTGCTCTTCAGTGACCAATGCATAATATTTCAGCGATATTTTGCCTTTCACGCCCAAATAAATCTGTTTCGTCAGAATATTAAGACTGGCTATTCTCTCGCATCGACGTTTTATCTTTCAAAGCGTAAAACAACCGTTACGTTATTTCCACCTGCAGGAGGATCATCACTGACTTCTCTGTAGCCATCCTGGCTGCGTTATATTGTCTGGAATAAATTGAGCTGATCGTGCTCCATATTTATATTAAGGTACGGTTATATCCCATGCACATCAGGATAAGACGGACTAGTCCTGAAGCTTTTGACATAACTGTATTTTGAGTAGTCAATATTGATCTTCATGAAACTAATTATAAATTGCAGGAAAATTTTCAAGCATGCATAAATTACAATTGGTGTAGGTTACCGTGTGGGGTTTATTCGTGAAGAATATTTGAAAACGGTCTGCAGTTAAATTTAATACACTATCTTCTATGTCGAGAGTTCTGTGTCTCTGCCTACGGTATAAGACAATCTTAACATAATGGGTGAGGTGTGGGGAAATAGGGTATATCGTCGTGTCCAAGATTATTGCACTTATATAGCGACGTGCATGCACTGTGTGTGTGGCTGCTTGTACTATTCCGGACTAATGCCGATTTTATAGTGCTAGCCCACTGACATACCATGCCGAAGTTTAACACGAATACCCCACTTAGACACAGTACACTGACTCCGAGCCGACCAGTCCTTGTTTTAGACCCTTAATGCCAAGACAGGGTAACAACAAGTACCATCTTTTAACGTCTTTTGGGATGACGCGGCCGGGATCGAACCCCGGACCTTCCGCTCTCCGGGCGGAAGCTCAACCACTAGGCCACGGAGGCGGTCTCTTAACATATTGAATGAGTGAGTGAATGAATAGTGTTTCACGCCGCACCGTCAATCTTAACAGTAACGTCTCTTCGTATACATTGACTTTTGTGGTAATATAATCTCAGATATATAATCTCCGTTAAATTCACCAAGTGCACGCAGTTTACGTGAAGGATTCTACAGATACTTTCATGTAATATATATTCACTGCTGGACAATATTTATCATTAAGTTTGAATCGCTTAAATCAAATGCTGGCAAAAAACTTTTATCTAGAAAACCAAATAAAAGCGACAAAACCATATTCTATGATCATACAATACAGAACGCCAATGCAAGAAAATAGACTCGATTATCCACCGAAACACCAAAATCCATTTTGCGTTAAAGGTAAAGTAGTAACTAAAAGAAAGGCCTAAAAGCAGAATCCGTTGTACGATTCCGGCTCCATCAAAAGTATGTGTCAAGGAATCGCTATCAAATAGTGGTGACACCGGGGCCCACTTACACAAAACGATCTTAGCGCTAAGACTATTGTAAGCCTATGTTAAAGTATGGAAGTTAAGATCATCTTAGCGCTAAGATCGCTTTGTGCAAGAGGGCCCAGGTGTTCATAATCCCTTGTTCCACGATGTTGGTCAGTTTTTTAGTCTGCTCTACTGACATATTCTAATAACATGATTTTGATTAATGATTGAAGCAAGGAGTTTTTATATAAAGAGGATCTGGTGTTCAGTTTGAGAAGACTGAGAACGGATCGGACTATGCTACCCGATTCCCAACATGTGTAGACATGCGACTAGACTCGTGAAGATCTGGGGTAGAATAGGTCTTCAGCAACCCATGCTTGCCGTAAAAGGCGACTATGCTTGTCGTAAAAGGCAAAAACGGGATCGGGTGGTCAGGCTCGCTGACTTGGTTGATGCATGTCATCGTATCCCAATTGCGTGGATCGATGCTCATGATGTCAATCACTGAATTGTCTGGTCCAGACTCGATTATTTACAGACCGCCGTCATATAGCTAGAATATTGCTGAGTGCGGCGTTAAACAACAAACAAACAAAGATATGCGACTGAGCCCTACAAATCAGTATAAACATCAAGAAGGCATTTAATAAATATTATTTAAACAAATATTTATAACGATATTAGACGCCAACTTACCGCAGCCACACAGGCCAAGCACAGTGCGAACATGAAGATCTTGAACATCTTGCTAGGGTCTTGGGGTCTGTCGAAGTTGTTGGTGATGGCACAAGGTACCGTTGGTCTTTTATACCCATGGAATGAAGATGTTACTTAATGCATAGGACCAGGCTCGACTGTTCACGGGAATGACCCCGTCCTTCGTCACGTTTCACCTTTTACCCCAGAGATACGACATGCCTGTCCACCGTGCCATATGTCAGTAGGCATTTCAATAGTCCTGGAGGTTAAGATGGAGGTTAGTTATGCGGCAAGAACAAATGTTAACCAGCCTAAAATAATTTTATTTCTGAATGGGAATATATTTATTGTTTAACTTCTTAATTAAACTCTTGTCTTAACATGATTGTCGAACAATTTGCGGTCGGGTAGCCTTGTGGTTAAAGCGTTCGTTCGTCACGCCGAAGACCCGGGTTCGATTACCGACATGGGCATTTTGGTGTCCCCCGCCGTGATATTGCTGGAATATTGCTAAAAGCGGCGTAAAATGAAACTCACTCACTCGCTCACTGTATTGTTAACATTACGATATAATTTCATGAGCCATCACTTTCTTGTACAGACAGCGCACAGCTAAAGAATCAAGGGAATTAAATCGAAATAAATTCAATTGTGAGTAAAAGTCAAAATCGTGGTGAAACTTATAGGAAAGCCTCACTGAACAGCAGTGATGACACCCGGTGTTCGCGAAAAGGATAAGCATGTCCTGCCATACCGGCAGCTACCGATACTCACACAAATTGCATACAAAAGTGTTTGTTTGTTGCCTAACGTCACACAGCAGTACTCCTGCCATACGATAAAAAACATCTTTTCCTTTAACGTGAAATGCACTGCATATCATTAATAGAGTCTATATATGAAATGAATCAAGTATATTTTTTAAGACGCCTTGAATTCCGAAATGAAAGGGGTGGTCGTGTAGCCTTGTAGTTAAAGCGTCCGCTCGTCACGCGGAAGACCCGGGTTCGATTCCCGACATGGGTACAATGTGTGAAGCCCATTTCTGGTGTCCCCCGCCGTGATATTGCTGGAATATTGCTAAAAACTGCGTAAAATCAAACTCACTCACTCACTGTATTGTTAACATTATGATATATCTTCATGAGCCATCACTTCCTTGTACGCACAGCTCACGAATCAAGGGAATTAATATAAGCGACGCTGGCGACAGAGAGTGGCTGGATGGGTGCCCGCGCTCGGATAACTCCTGAGAGGCATCGATTTGTACAATAAAAGCGAAAAAACATTGAGAATGCACAAAACATGTACATAACTACTCCATATTTATCACCTTAAATCAAAATGACCGCATACGTTAATAGATATACATTTAATATAATGTGAAACATATAAAGACTTTGTCATTTTATCATTGTACAAAAATACCACATTGCGACTGGATTAACGTTCCTGAATAATCATGTATTAGTTTTCACATTTGCTTTTTCAGTAAAGTTTTCCTATTTTTCAGTTGTGTTAAATCAGGACAAACGCTGACCCGCTAGACTGACGTCATTTGAAATACAAAACAAATAGTATTTGGTTGTATATATATATTTTTTGATATATTTAAATCTTATAAGAAATGCTGAGATGTCAAATGAGCTTTACGAAACCGCATATATTTATGGTTTTTAAAAAAAACATATTTCATATTTTCAGTTATTGTTTGACATTCAGGAATATCTTTATCCGAGTAATAGGAATGCTCTTTGAAGGTTTTTTTCAGATTGTCGGTGTTATTGTGTTCTGTTTCTGTAAGGCTCTGACGTCATTACCGTTATTCTGCTAAACAAAGTAGTGTGAAATACACTCCGCACATCAGAAGACGTAAGGGGCGGTCGGGTAGCCTAGTGGTTAAAGCGTTCGCTCGTCACGCCAAAGACCCGGGTTCGATTTACCGACATGGGTACAATGTGTGAAGCCTATTTCTGGTGTCCCCCGCCGTGATATTGCTGGAATATTGCTAAAAGCGGCGTAAAACCAAACTCAGTCAGTCAGTCAGAAGACGTAAAGTTCACAGGCCACAGACCCATTCCTCAATAAAAACATCGCCAGACAAAAGTAACTGCGTTATTGTTTTTATAAATTTAATAATATATGTTTATAGAAACACGTTACTCTCTTTCCCTTCGACAGTTTTAAGGATGCTTCTGTTAAATTTGACTGAAGATGATAAATAGAGAATCTCACCCGAGTGTCTTTTGATATCAAATATATCAACACGAGTTGATAAAAATGGAAAAATCCCGAGGCTTGCCGAGGATTTTTGCCACTTTTATCAACGAGTGTTGATATATTTGATATCAAAAGACACGAGGGTGAGATTTTATTTATCATCCAACATCATTCTTTCAACCTTTTCAAATTGTAGACAGTAATTAGCAGTGTCTTCAGTGTAAAAAGTACTGCAAACAGCTTCAGTAGCAGAGCCATTAGTGATGTCATTTGATTAACCAGTGACGTCACAATGGTCCGCAAAGCATTGTGATGTAATTTCATTGCAGCGATATCTACAGTGTAGATATCGCTTGATCTCATCCAAGCTATATCTCCTGTGGGAGCCAGTTTTGGATGATAAGGAAAGTTAAACAAATTCAACTACATGAAGTCTTATTCTGCCAAACAGTTTGTGTTCTCTGCTTATTTTAATTCCATATGACTGACATACAGTCTACAATGAAAAGAAATTGTGCGCGGCTTGCTGTCTCCTATCGCATACGCATAAAAAAGTTTGAAGCTATCCTGTCCTGACAAATGATTTATTTTGCATACATTTGAACGATTGATTTATGTGTAAAACCACGTGGTAATTATCATCATAAATATTATTACTTCCCAGTTATAAATCGATTCATGTGATCATAGTTACATCTGAGTTGGAGCATTAATTGTATAACCATCGACCGTAGGCCCGCCTTCCCGTGGAGCGAGGCGGTGTGTGAGCCGTGGGAATAATTCCATCTGTGAGATAAGCTACGGGCTGTGCTGCTGTTTGTGTGACCCGTGTTACAACATATACACATTGATTTGGTCATAGTCTGTGAGCATAATGGGGCGGTTGGGTAGCCTAGTGCGTCCAGCTTTCGCTCGTCACGAAAGTCCGGGTTCGAATTTCCGCATGGGTACAATGGGGTAAGCCCATTTCTGGTGTCCCCGCCGTGATATTGGTGGTATATTGCTAAAAGCGGCGTAAAACCGTACTCACTCACTCACCCATGATATATTGCAACATTTATGCTGGCAGTGCGCTTTGCATTGATATAGTATGCACGTTACATAAGAGCACACATCATCAATTATTATGCCTCAAAGTGATATTGACCAATCAGAGAGCAGAACTTCTGACCCCACATGAGCCCGTATACCGTTAGTAAAAATCCAAGATGGTTGATACCTACCTTGTCTGAGACCGTATACCGTTAGTAAAAATCCAAGATGATTGATACTGACCTGATATGAGACCGTATACCGTCAGTAACAGCCATCTTGGATTTTTCACCACCCACCTCACATATTTCACATAAAAATTCTGGTACAGAAATTCGTTATTCGACACTGTTTTGTTTTTTAATATAATTAACTTTGATGTGCATTGACGTTTATGTTTTTTTTATCACGTTCGTGACTTTAATAAGATTATATAAAGTTAAAAGCATCAAGGTTTGGCCTCTGGGGTTTGAAGAGTAGTCTCCCTTTGACCCTTAACGTCTGAGGTTGTAAGTGTTACGTTTTGTGTTTTAAGTTTCTACATGACATGTGCGACAAAGATACCAAATAGTGTAAACTTTTCGGCATAATAAATTCGTTATGGTGTCTTAAGTTGCCGTATACGGTGTCATATTAGGTTAGCAGAAAAAAAATATTTTTGGCTCTGCTAACCAAATATGACACAGTATACGGCAACAAAAGACACCATAACTGATAATATACTGCCGGGCAAAATGTGAGAAAAATATGAGCAAAATATTACAAACGTTATCAAAACATTACGATGCTGAAAACAGTCGCCGAAACACTCCAAAGTTAAGGCCCAAAACCCAAGTACGTTACCCGTACCAAATACATCACATTCGAATAACCATTTCCTTTCTGCTTCATTTCTAGCCACCATTAAACATGGGTGCATACTCTTGCCCGTCTTTTGAAGTAACTTATAATAGAAGGCTGTTGTAACGACACAGGGGGGCACGGGTGGCCCAGTCGTCTAAGGCGCCGCGATTCGCTGTGCAGAGTTGCGTCCCCTTGACACGCCAGAAACCTATGATTGTGGGTTCGAATCCCGGTTCGCCCCGATTATGTTTCTAGGTTTGTCAGCACCATACCCGTGCTCGTGGGTTTCACCGAAGTGGTAAACGTCTGAGACCTGCATCACTTCGGGCTTTCCTCCCACATGAAGCTGACACGCCGTGATATAACTGGAATAATGTTAAAAGCGGCGTTAAACCCAACTCACTCACTCACTCACTGTAACGACACAGGGAAATAAGTCTCGTCTCACAGACTGAGTGAATTTCGTTTTACGTCACAGTCTGGCGAGATGTAAATAATCTAATCTGGATTAGATAAAAAAGTGGTTGATAGCATGAGTACTGTAAAGACATGATAAATGATAATCTGAACATTGATAACGAAAATAATCAATTCGTAAGGGAATGGTTGAACACGAACTATGTCTGACGTTCCTTGAAGCTTACTGGGACTGAACACGCACAGCAATCAATTACATGAAACAAGAGACTGCCTCAAGGTATAATTTATATCCAAAAATCGTTGAAGGTAATGAAACTTATTCGATAATGACAGAAGTAAAATCTGAAGAAATCGACCCCTTGACCTTTGTTCTGGCATCAATACTGTCTGAAACAGGAAACACCGGCATTCGTTTGTCTCAAGTGAATCTTAATATGGCCTCATCCAAGCCATATTCTTGAATCATAGAAACGGCTTGTCCGACGCAAATGAATAACATGCACTGAGGTGTATCGACATCCGTTTGATCAACGCTCAAACTGGAGTATATGGTTTGAATCAGTGAATATAAAAAACCATGATCACAAGGATTAATTTCTTTTTAGACATCTAACTTTCAATTGGCGATTTGA